CTCACCCGTGCACAAGTCATGGCGGCCATTGACACCGGGAAAGTGTCTGCCAAATGCTGCTGTCTTCTACTCTCTTGCGGGAGTATCAATCTTCTGTGATTTGATTGTCTTCCTCACCCCCATCCCGCTATGGCTGAAAGTACGCATCAGCACGCCGCGTAAATTGGGGCTGATGGCCGTCTTCCTGCTCGGCCTGTTCACCACAGCCTGCTCGATTATGCGAGTGGTACAGATTGAGATAATTGCAAAGGATGGAAACTCTACCATGCTTATCCTCTGGGGAACCATCGAGCTGAACGTCGGAGTAAGTCAAACACAAACACGACGGCTTGCCAGATCGTCAGACACAGAAGAAGCTAACATAGTTCTGTTACAACTAACCAGATCGCCATAACCTGTCTGCCCACTCTCATACCGCTAATCACCTTCATACAAGGCCGAACATCCAAGAGCGGTCCCATGCAGTATCCTCACAGCACCTCCGACGGCCGCAGCGCCGGCACTTCAGTCAAGCTCAAGTCCGTCGGCCTGCACTCATCGACCATGCGATCCCAAACCATCCCGACTGGCAACAACACGCTAGTCAAGTCGGGCAGTTTCAGCTCTCTAGAGGCGATCCTCCCAGTCGACAGCCAGGGGCGGCCCATCCAGCGAGAAGACATGGAATCCAGCAACGGCAACGGATCGCAGAGCAATGTACACCTCTCCAATCCCGGCCATATAACGAAGACTGTCCAGGTGGAGATCACCCGGACGGACAACCGGCCGGGCCCTGAGCAAAGTTGGCTTCATTGAGCTTGTTTAAGCTTGTTCGTCTGTTTCCATGCTTCATTTTCGCGAATAGGGAGAAAAAATAGGTATCTTCAAAAGGTGTTCGGGCCTTGGTTTCTAGAACGTTTTATTATGTCCGGTCATGGCAGCAATGTGCTTCTCTTTCTCACGATATTATTTATTATTTTCATGCCTGTTTCTATGCCTCGATATACCCTGTATATATTATTGATTTCTCTCTTCTTGTTGTGCAATCACGACGGCTACCAAAGTACAACCATCTAGTTCACTACTTCAGTCTTCCCCTAGTCAAGAACTTGGTGGTTACGTGGTAGTTAGTTGACTGCTTTGTTAGTTAATAGACACCAACAACCCCTGAATAAAATTTTCACTGACTTAAAATCATCCCACCATCTCCACCAGCTAAACGGCCAGCTACCAAGACAAACAAGAAGAAAGATCGTATTAATAGCATTCTCTGCAATGCTGCATCGGCGTCGGAGTACGGGTAGCCATGGTCAAAAATCCACTCTGTGCCTGTTACGAGGTGCAGCAAGACCACGCCTCCCCATCATGGCCGTGTCAAAGACAAGGCACAGCATAGATACCCAGCTCACAGAGAGCCCTCAGACCATCGCAGACAATAATGAAACATATCGAACGCCGCCCGTTTCAACCATGATAACCTCATAGTTCAGGCCAGGAACTGCCGGGTGCGAGCCGAGAACGATCCCCCCGGCCCTCTTACTTGAAGGGCATAAGTTTTGCCCGGGGGTTCATCCCTGTACGAGGAGAAGTCAAGCTAGTTAGCTACACACACGCTGGATCCTCCGTTACAGCCGGCATCCCAGTCGCCGTTCGGACCTCTTTGCTCCATTGCTCACTCGGACACCCCGTTGTTTCATCAAAAGCGGCTGCTCTCGACCTGGTCGCTTCACATTCCCACGAACATTGTATATCGCTGCCGGATATCATCTCCAGGTCTCGATCAGAGATCCAGTGGAGCATAAAGAGTTAACTACCTACAAACATAACTAAAAAAGAAAAACACCGGCGGGCTTCGAGAAGCAAAAGGTCGGCCAAAGATGGGGTCCACGTCCACGCCGCCTCATGTCCTGATCATAGGAGCAGGTATCACAGGTCTCGTTCTCGCTCAGGCATTGCGTAAACACGGAGTGTCCTTCGCCGTCTATGAGCGAGATCCCGGCCCTCTGCACCGTGGTAAAGGTTGGGGACTGACGATACACTGGTCTCTGGATGCGTTTCTTCGGCTTTTACCACAGCATCTGATCGATCGGTTGCCAGAGACTTATGTCGATCCAGACGCGGTTGCAAGGGGAGAGAATGGGAACTTCCTACTGTTTGACCTTAGGACCGGAGAGACTAAGTGGAAAGTTCCACCGGCAAAGCGACTGAGGGTGTCGAGAGAGCGGCTGCGTAGATTGCTGATGGATGGAATTGATGTTCAGGTAAGTCAAGGCAATTTTTGTTCAATCTATAAGATTTAGAGACACCGCTAAATGCTTGTCAGTGGAACAAATCTATCTCTAGTATCAGCCAGATATCAGAAACAGCAGTACGCTGTGAGTTTTCAGATAATTCCAGTGCTGAAGGAACCCTGCTGGTAGGATGTGATGGCTCTCGATCCAAGACTCGCTCATTGTTATGTTCTCTGGCTGGTAATGAAACTCCAGTCAGGTCAGAGAATTATCAACTCCCCGTCCGTCTCATCGGGGTGAGCGCTGCATTGCCTTCGCGGGTGGCCCTCAAGATGAGGGCCCTAGATCCGTTCTTCCTGCAGGCCGGTGACCCAGCTACCAGTAATTTCTTCTGGTTCTCATTCCTTGATACCCCGACTAACAATGACCGCGAGGACCGTGATACGTATGAGTGTCAGATATTGATTAGCTGGCCGTACCGTAAGGACGGCTCTAGCAACATAGAAATTCCATGTCATAACGTCGACAAGATAAAACTTATGCACTCCCTGGCTGATGGATGGGTAGAACCGTTCCGTGAGGTCGTGCAGAGTATCCCAGAAGAAACAGAGCCGAAGATCATCTCCTTGGAGGACTGGCCGACCCCACCAAAGGGTTCATGGAGCAATCTTGGTGGCACAGCAACTCTAGTCGGAGATTCTGCTCATGCGATGACAATGTGTGAGTGTATCCGTCTATTTCCTCTCCAGTGGCCACAAGTATTCTAAGCTAATGGCCACTCTTATAGTTCGTGGTGAAGCAGGAAATCACGGTATCCTTGATGTATCCAACTTGCTAGAGGCCTTAATTCCTGTCCTCACATCGTCGCCACACTCTCCGGCAAAAACACAGGAGGAAGTGATCAACGAATATGAAGATGAGATGACCACCCGCACCAGGCCAGCAGTTCTTCGGAGCCGCAAAGCGTGTCTTGATGCTCACGATTATCCGTCGATAACAGCGGACTCCCCACTAGTTGCTCGAAGAGGAGCATTTGAAGACGATGATCTGGAATACCTCCTCAACTAGAAAATTAGAATTCTGGAAAAAAAGAGTACTCTGTGTACAGAGTACTCTGAAAAGAATTAAATTGATTAATTTATATGGCACATATTCTTTCTCTTTGAGGTATCAGGCTGGCTTTTCCCAGTTGATGGTTGCATAACGTCTTACACTTTAGACTTCGATAGTTCTATACCTCAGGGAGGCAGGCCGCTGCGCCATCAACTCGCCTCCTATAACTGGATAGTTTGGCTTGGTTGTACGAATACGCTTTAATTAAAGACACTTTGGTTAGCATCAATGTCAGTCGTGCTTATGCCAAGCTGCAGTCAGGCATCTAGCGAGAGTTGCAGCGATCCTCCGAGCAATCCGGGACAATTACCATCCATACACCGCCAGGCACATGCATTTCGACAGATCACACGGCGGCCCCCAGAATCTTCGTCAAACTTAACCTGCTCACTTCGGTTAAATTCATTCATTCCACATGTATGATTTATACACTACTGGCAAGGCGGGGTTTGCCGCCTCAAGTCACAAAATTGATACATCACACCAGTGGAGGCCAAATCTCCGAGGGAGCTGTCCTTTGCTGCACATGCGCTGGTGATCCATGATTCGTATATGTACTCCATAGATGGCTTGCAGGTGACGTCTTGACATCGTACAAGTACATATTCATTTGCATTCTCTCCAGGCTCATATGAAATCAACAAGGTCAACGATTTTTATCATGGAGTGGGGGTGGTAAATTAGTTATAGAGATGATCTGTGGAGATGTAATAATCCGCGCCTTGACCGGGGTGGACAGGGCTCTTTCGTTTTTCTTGGATGGACTCCAGCTTTGCCGCTCCCTGTTATATGATGACAAACTTATAGCCCATGCCCTACCCTGCTGACCAGGGTCTGGCTTTGCTTATTATTTGCTTTACCAGTCCCTCCTTGGAAATATTTCCCTGCAATGCTATAGTCATAACTACCCCGTAATAATTGATACATATCAGCTAACTGATTGTTGAGCTGGCCAGATATTTTAGCTCTCACTTTTTCTCAATTAATTTGTGACGTTCATATAAACTATATAAACTACGGCTAAATAATCAACAACGAGGCCGCTCCGTCCTTTCCTGACGCACCTTCCTCAAGTTGTTCGTTATAACACGAGACAAAGAAGGCACGTGCGGACGGGCCGGTCCTTCCAGGTTTAAGCTTAATTTCCCAAAGTATATTAATTCCCTCGATGAGAAGGCGCGCTTTCTGCTCCTTCCCCGCTGAGATTAAAATAAGTTGAAGTAAACAAAGGACATCACTAGTCAGGCACAGTTTTGTGGGAGTGTCAAGGAGGATCGCTTGTTATGAAACAGCAATACTGCGTATACTATGCATGCCCCATTGCCGTTAATCCGCGTGGCGCCCCATAGGTTAGTACTCCATACTACTAAACACATATCATATCATGCTACACGGACAGTGACGCCATCATATTGCATGCTGTTTCAGGAGGACTGCAAATACTATCTATTTTCCTGGGCGACTCTGTGCTCATATGACCATAATCTTACAGAATGATTTTAAAAATATTAATACAGTAGATCAGAGTTCGAAATAGAGAAGATGATGCGATATTTCCTTCGCTCAAACACAGTGTGTATCAAGAGGGCGGGAAAACTGCTAATAGTGTAGAGACTGCTAATAGGACCTCAGAGTATAGCTGAGTCTTGGGTTTTGTGGATATGGATATCCTCTAAACTAGCTCAGAAGCCTCAATGCGTCGGTGAAAAGCAGCCTGGCATATACCTGATGGAAACCTGACAGCATTGTTACGAGACGCGATTCTTCTCCTCTTGGATTGCAATGGAAACATGATAGACGAAATTCTATCATATCATCACGATCGTCTGCACATTTGGTAATGGAGTTGATACCCTTTGAGGAGTCATTCCTGTGAACGGACAGCCTATGGCACCCGGCAAAATTTCCATTCCCAAAACCGAAGTCGATATATGAAAATTTCTCCTCGGCGGATTTCCATTTTGTCAAGCCTTCAGAAGTAGGGTTCAACCTTGTTTTATTGACCAAATGCGAGTGTGTCACCTGAAACGCGCCAAACAGTATCGAACCCAAGGGAAGCAGTGTTGTCTTTGGGATTTCAGTGGCTTTCCATATATTCTTTGGCAGTGATAACCCGGGATTCGCCGGTTGTGTATCTGAAGATAACGGAATCTGTTGAGTTAGGCCTATTGATACCCGTTAATGAAACCTCCATAACATGAGGTAAAATTCTAGCGGAGACTCGCCTTTGATTTGCACTGCCATTACCTTCCACCCACCAGATGCCAGAATGAATCTTTCGGCAGCAAATATGATTCCACCAAAGAACCCGCGAGTGAACCTAGCCAGGAGTTCTTCATCGCTTAGCTGACCTAGTGGTAGATTTTTCCCGGGGAACAATGTACTATGCACGAGTGTGTCAGCTTTTACTCGCGCAATCAAGCAGTCCTCAACGATTGCATAACCATGGGGGTTGATCAATGCCTCAGAGCGAGTCTCATGGAAAGATGTAAGAGGCTGTGGAGAGTAGATAATCCGGCGGGATCGAGAGAAAAAGTCCATGAGGAGGTAATTGGTTATGGGGACGTATTGGGGCGTGGGTTGCAGTGTTCTTGAGCATAAATTCGGGTATACAATTAGCGGGCAGTGTTTCGCGTACGGGTTATGGTCATATAAATAGTTGGCCTTCCAACGGCCATCATCAAGGCTTATGTTCCAATGCTCAGCTGGAAAAAGAAACCGATGACGTAGGAACGGGAGCAATCGGGACAACTCGGTGATCGTGATACTCAAAATAGGATCTCTCAACACAATAATCCTCGTATTTAATGGCTGCCGAGCGACTGAGTCACTAGCTAGTTAGTTATAGCTGTGAGGCGGCGGCTACGCCGGATCATGGACCACAAATTTTCCTACACATTAACAAATTGTCAATTCGAAGAAGAAAAAAAAAAAAAAAAAGAATATGAGCATTATGCATAAAGACAAGATCTATCCATATTCCGTATACCAAATGCCGGAGCTCTCGTAAAGTGTTCACAAGACGTTGTAGCTTCTCTGAGGCTAGAAGTGACTCTTGATGTAAAAAAGTCGGGAGGTAAAAGCCATCCACGCTCTCTCTTCAATATTAGAGGTATATCAATTTTGCCAAGTCAAGGCCACAATAATAACCAGCTCGCAGCACCACCTTGCCTAACAATCCCCCACCCTAAGAACAAGCTTACAAACCACAAAATGCCCATGATAACAATGGGTAACAGAATCAGCTCTGTATGATACAAAAACGGCAGGTTGCTATACCCGAGGAAGGATATATACGTATAATATGAGAACGCAGAGAGGTATAGAGTATTTCCTAGAAGAGTGGCTAGAAAATTGGAGGACGTTCCTGTACCTCGAGTGAGAACAGGGAGGAGGACGAATTGTAGAACGTATAGGTGGAGGTAGAGTGTGAAGAAGGCGCGGGCCGATATCTATGTGAAAGCGGTTAATAATTTGATGTTTAGATTTCAGCGGTTGAAAAGCGAGCTCACATCGAAGCAATATCCAAATTCAACGTGCTCTTTATCCCCCGATAACCCAAAAAGTCCCTGTGCAGGTGCACGCCGTCTCATGCGACCTAAGGACGACCGTGTCCCTCTCCACTCACTAATTGTGGCAGCGGGCCCGTTGGGACCAAATATGCGGCCCACAGTGAAGTACATTATCGTGGAAATAATGAGGGAGGCCCCGAGGTAATGGAGAAAGACGAAAGCTATGGCGAGGCCATTCATAGAGAGAAAAGACGGTTTATAGGCAAAGCCCCATGCTAGGCCGGTTAAATATAAGAATAAGGAGAACAGGTAGCTGAATGACGGGTCGGGGCGGTGCCAGGTGTTTTTCGTTTCTAGACGGGTATTAGGTCGTGAGCAGCTATGTGATGGGTTGCGAGGGGAGACTAACGTTTCTAAGAACAGTCAATTGGTTAGCTTTAGCTTCTTTTGCATGAAGTACCATAAAGATATCGGCCCACAAACATGATAATACATAGATTTAAACACCTTTTTAGGTGCAATCACAAGAGATGTCATCTCCCAAATGGCCATCTCGAAGTCCATCTGTGAGACTTTGAACAACCTAGGTCACAGGCATCAGCATGTGGATAGCCCACAGAGCGGAACATCAGCACCTTACCGGCCAAAAACTTGCGGCATTCGTATAAATGGGTTCCTATTCTGCGGCGAGGTACCGCCGAACTGTGCTGGCCCAGCATGTTGCCGGGGGACGGATATATGGGGATTCATTGGGGAAAGATGAGGGCAACTCGCCCGGGCCGAGGTTGAACTACCGCAGCATTAAAATCAAGAGGAACAGAGAAGAAAGCCCAGACCGTTCCAGTGTGTAGAGACTCTGCCCATCCGTCTCCTTTGCTTGCTGTTGGGTGCTTGTTATCAACTCAAACTGTCGACTTGTTATGTTTGAAGCTTGGAGCAGGTTGACAGCGTTGGAGAAGCGTCACGTGACCGTGATTCTAAAACGGGCGCGGCGAGGCTACGGGGGAAGTTTCTGGTTCACGGACATCAGACATCCATGGATCTCAAAGAGACGAAGAAGAAGAGACGAGACGCGAAGGATGGGGTATGCGATGCACTTGCCCCTTAATCGTGGCGTTGGCAGCTTTGCTAAGGGTGCTGTGTGACACAGACACCGCGGGATATGACCGCTGCGTTCTGGCGGCCGAATGGACTGCGCATCATAGCTATTACATAGCTGTTACGAATGGATAATATGCGTGCATATGCCGATAGACGGCCAGGGAGACGGAATATGGATACCCATTATGATTCCGATGAGATGATCTTACGATGTCTTTCACACTCACTTTATCCTCTAAGTGGACAGTTGTCTGCCCAACTTAGGTATACCCGGATGACCGACTCAACGAAGGCGAATGAAGGGGTTGAGCCGGCTTTGTTCTACGGCTTTTGTTTTCACCATATACACTCTTGCTCCACGGTACTTCCCGTTATTAAATCGCCAGGGCCATTCGCACTTGATCGACACTTAGCTTTAGCCAAGCTGGGTCCACCAGGCATTGGTAGAGCAGAAGGACCGGAGGCTATGGTATTTGCGTCATATTACTCTTCATAGAGATCGGACCAGTTTAGGTGACAATCCATTTTGAATGCTCTAACTGCCAAGGCTAGGGAGTGGTATTACGGACTACGCGCCCAAGCACCCTCGGATTTGTTTTAGTGCCAGGCTCTGAGGATATTCTACTTACTTCCTAGGCTATGCGATTTTGTATTATAGTTGCTTAGCCAACTATAACATCCTTCTACGCTCCTCCAGAATTCTAAGCTAAGGACTTTGATAAGGAGAGAAGTTATTTTGAAGCTCACTGCATAAAGCTATGTCCGAAATGTTGCAAACGCAACATATCTAGAATCGTAACTCATGAATCATTTCCGGAGAGTTGATGAAGGCACACCTCTCTCTCAATTTCTGCCCTCCTATGACGCTATGCGGACCATGGTCGTCAATATTCGACAGCCCTTCGTTGGGGCCACCGGCAACAAATACTAGTATCTCATTGTGTTTGGAGAAGCTTTTTCGAAACCCTTTGAAGGTATTATGGCCCGGTAAACTCGGCTCTTTGGTACTGCCAAATGTTGACCAGGATCGTGAGGCTCTATGGGATAGTTCATAGTCCGACGCAGTTGGGCGTATGGGTGATCCAGGAGGTATATAAGCAGAAAGGTTGGCATAGACGTATGGCAAATCTGCTCCATGCAACACTCCCAGTGCACTTGGGGCTATAGTTTGGTTCCAGGAGAAGAAATATGCATCAGCTCCTTCTGCTGCAGCATGTTCTCCAACTAGGAACGGTTCGCATGTCATCACTATATCTCGGAAGATTCTGGCCGTGCGATAGAAGTCTCTGGAAAATCCGGCAGTTTTGTTCTCGGGGAACTCATCTGTAGGATACAACTTCAGAAGAGTATCGATATTTTTCCGAGATACGTCCGGTGCATAGGATGCAATGAAGTCCGCTACTCCCTTTGACGTTGTGATGTTTGGATACACAAATCGAGTAACATCGTCCTCACACCATCCCATCATTGTGGTAACGGGGGCAAAGCGCCGCTGAGCGACCAGTACTGACGGCGCATCAGGGAGAAAATCGCCATCGACGCTGGGGAGCCATATATCTCCAATATTATGGTCAACGCCGTTTTGGTATGTAGCAATAGCTGCTTCGAGTAATGTCTCGGTATCCAATTCTCGTAGACACGCTAACGCCGCTTCCGAGTTGAAGTCTCCGGAAGTGCAATTTGCCTTGTCTGTCACTAACTCCATTGCTGTGCTCGTGAAATTACCGGTGATGCCGGGCTCAAGTACTTGACTCTGACAGATGCCCTGCTGGTATGGAACTGGCTGCTTTCCTCCATATGCCAACATTTGCATGCCGACAGATACGCCTGGCTATGTTAGAGTGAGGGTCAAAGAAGTGTGCGGAATAAAGGGGTAAGAATACCTCCTGATGACTGTCCGAATATTGTTACCCTGTTCGGATCACCCCCAAAGGCGGCAATGTTGTCCCGAACCCATTCGAGAGCCAATCGTTGGTCTCTCAGAGCTGCATTCTCCGATCTCTCGGATCTGAGAGCCGTGGTCTGAGCAAACCCAAACACTAGTATTTGCCTTAGAATAGGAGTCTCTTTTGGCTTGTTGAGAAGGGATGTGTATACTCACCTCCTAGACGATAGTTCATCGCAACGTGGATGATTGGACGACCGTTGGCCACCGACTCCTTGACCATATTATCGGCGTGCCACCTCGGGTCCTGGTTATGTCCTACCCAGTAACCCCCGCCGTAGATGGTTACCATAACCGCCAACTTATCATGACTCGTCATGTTCTTCGGCCTTCCGATATTGAGATTCAAGCAGTTTTCAGAAATTACCAGCTTACCCCGTGAGCCAGCACGTAGCTCCTGGGGACAAATTGGCCCATATACAGTAGCATTGATATGGCTCCCGCGTGGAGGAACAACGGCGACTGGTGGTTTGAAACGATTTTTGCCCCCCGTATCATGGCCAAAAGGGATGCCCAAAAACACCTCTATTCCATTGCGGTCCAAGCCGGTGTATGTTATCTGCCGCCCTTTGTCAACAACCATGGGCCTGGCAGCCGCAATGGCGGCTGTCAACGTCAAGATCCACAGCATGACAAAATCGTATATCGCCATATTGAGGAGGGAGAGCTAGATCTACTAGCAACCAACTGTGCCTGTAGCATTGTAGAAACTGAGAGTTACGGGGCCGCAGACAGTTCTTATATGTGGCTTTGGTTCTAACCCCCGTCCAAAGCCGTAAGATGACCGGGTAAGCAGTGAGCAGTGCTCCTGCTCTTGCCGCATCACCCGTACGATAACCATTAACTTAGGTATACGGCAGTTGGCACGAGGGCTGAAGATCCGGTTTACGAGGATACGTATGTATAGACAGTTAGCCCCGCGAATGTTACTAGGATTAATATGCATTACTGGGAATATCTCGGGCGAAATTACTCACAATCGAAAACACAAAAGTGAGGCCTGTCGCCCTCCTTTTAAGCCCGTAGAACACAGTACCCTTGCTCCCATCAATCTGCACTGCAATTGTAGCACGACGCACAGGACGTTGGGGGTATACTTATAGGCCACGCTGTTCCAGGTCGAGACATGGACAGAATTCCTATGCCATTGGCATCTTGATTATCTTCGGCCGAATTGCGTACCAGGTTAGCCTTGTATCTAGGATGTAGGACTGAATGCGTTGATCTGATCTGCACGCCATCGACGGAAACATTCCCGGAGCCAGGTAGCGAGTTAATCAGTTATGTGATGTTTATTGGCGTAGCAGGGAGAATTGGCGGTGGTAAAGAGCATGATGTCGACTCTGTAGTTGCGAGATAATCTGCGTACAGCTTCGAGCGGCCATGACTTCACTATAAAGCCACCGTCAGTGTCGCTGATGATCGAGCCAGAAGCTGATTCCACGCCTGGGCTTGAGATTCCGTCAACTAACGGTCTTTATCTTGAAGGATGAAGCACGCCTTTGATACCCGCAGCCTGCAGACATGCTGGTATGTTGGCAGGCGAGCTATCCTTCACCTTTGGCAAGGAGTAGAGTCCTTTTGCAGCGTTTATTCTTCCAACAGCCGTATCTCGAGATGGATATCTCTAGTCTCTCTCCCTTCTGCCGTAACTATATTTTCACAGGTAGCCACAGCTTGACTGTCTTCACGGCGCCATCGAGTCATCACTCTGCACCTTTCGCAAAAACAGAGGAAAGATTTGGCGTATCCAACCTCGGATGGCGAAGTCGTCCTTTCTAGGGTATGTCAATTGATAGCTGGAGAAGGATCATCAAGGAGTATAGGCGGGACATGCTCTGGATGTTGTCCTTTATACTTATTTGGACCGTTGTGGCTCTTCAACCGGACTGTCTATCTTATAGATGGTCACCATGAGATAACCATCCACCCAAATACTCATCAAGAGGACCACATTATACATGATTATCAGCACTCTGGTGTCATCCTGATTTACTCCGTATGTAAGTATCCCACAATACTCGTTATTAAAGCTAATGTTTATACTGCAGCTTGGTCAAACGGGTCCGATGTGGAAATACAGCCTTAAGGGCTTAAGGGAATTAATAGGGAAATACTCAACATTATTGACAGGTCTGTATTCGACCTTGTCTTTGCGACTACTATTAGTCGGAGACCCTGTCACTCTGGTCCTTTCTAGAGCTAACATTGAAGTAGATGATACCCCGAGACTACTCCTTCAAACGCTGCGGGATATACAACCAACACTTTCATGCACTGGTCAATAGGGATAACCCCTTGTTTTGACCCCTTTAGCCGCAAGTGTTTCCAGGATAGTCAGCTAGCCAACTGTTGGTAGCCATGGCCTGCGTACAGATAACTAGTGGCTGGACTGGGGGGCCAACCAACTCCGACTGACGGCTCTGGCCAGACCAAGGCGAGGGAGACAACGCATCTGGATCTCCGCTGGCCATGCCATGTCATGTTTATGTCAACCTGCAGGCCGCAGCAGGCAGGCAAGGCAGTTCGTATCCTGCGGAGGGTCGAGCCAGACAAGGTGCAAGCAGACGCACATCTCCCTCTCAATCGGGCATCAGACGCATATCATTCCTGTCAACGTATATTCAGTTCGTCTGCTCCCTGTCGACACCCCGTCTACCGTCTCACTGACCTGTGCCCCTTATACATATAGTCCATCTCAAGCCCGGCAGACAGACTGGAGTGATATACTTAGGCTAATCCCTCTTATCCATGCGTTCCTCGCTGCCGGTGCCGAATCAGCCCTCCCGTCAACGTTTGGCTCGACGTCGACCCCGTCGGGCATGCGAGGTGCATCGCGGATCTCCCTGCAAATCCCCAGCCAACGCCGCCCGCCATCAATGCCCCCTCGACGCCGTTCGTCTGCTTTTCTTCCTTGTTCCCTGCAGGAAATCAAAGAAATCAAAGAGAGTCGAATCGCCCCTGTAACGGCTGATACAGCATGTAACTCTGGCCTGCGGAGTAAGATACAGCGCTAGTCCCGAACAGGGCAAACTGACCTCCCCCTGTCGGTAATACGAATACTGCGTCAACGTCCTCCTTCGCCCTTTGCCTGAAAAAAAGGAAAAAAGTTGGTCGAAGCAAAAAAAGAAGCAAAAAATCTTCGAAACTCCAAACCCTCAAACGGCCCTCGAACGTCTTCAAAACGCCCTCGACTCCAGCGAACCGCCCGCCTGCTGCTCATCGCCGTCGTCTGCTGCTCGTCCATCCCTTGTGCCGCCGGGCAGGGGATCGCAGGGTCTCTGGAGCAAGTTGGCAGCCGTTTTTTACGCTTTACGCTTCCCGCTACCCGCCGTTCAAGCCCTCGTCCTGCCTCGCATCCCTGGCCGGCCTCGCTCCACCTGGCTTGTCTGCTTCTCTTCTTTGCTCTGGCAGCGAAGCATCCAACTCGGAAGACACTGATCAAGACCGCATACGACAGGACCAGGCTTCGGTAACGGCGTGGGAGAGAAGAAGACGCAGAGGAAAGAAGGCCATCCCTTGACGTTGGACGCTGTCAGTCCTTCTCCGGTAGATGTGCTCGCTGCACCGCTGAAGTCGGCGCCGGGTCTTCTGCTTGCTTGCCAGGTTTCTTTCAGGCCTCTTTTCCGGTTTGGAGATATGCATTGAGCCGTCTCCTTGCCAGTGGCACCTGGTTCTGTTCCCTCGCATCCAACGACTTTCCCTGGTTTCTGAACCCGTCGAACTTCCTCCCCCCGGGGAGAGGCTACCCAAAAGAACACAGCCGGCCCGCAAGAGCCATTCTCCCTTCGACTTTCAACAACAAGACGGCCATCATATATATCAGATATCATGCCCTATTCCTACCGGAACCCTTTGTCCAGGGCTTCCCGACACCCTGATCACCGTCCGCAGACGCCACCCCAATACCGCAACGAGGCCGTTTCGACTGGAAGCCGCCAACACGTTCGACCCTCCTTTCCTGAAACATTCCTCGACGACTACACTCCAATTGACCGCCATAATAACAGTCACAGTGATACTCAGGATGGGGACTCTGTTGACGAAGAAGAGCGGGATCCACACGACCTGTCCCTGAATCCGGCTCTCGGTGTGCGCTCGTCGGTCGTAGATAATATGCTGCTCTCCCTCGACCAATTCTCCGCCTCCAACGCTGCAGATTGTTCATTCGACGACAGCCTCCCTTACGATTCTCCTCACCAGCAGCAGGAGAGCTTCTCGGCTTATTCCTCCTACCATCACCACTCGAACAGCAATAGTAATAACGATAATACTATCACCGGCTCCGCCAGCGGGAGAAACACCGGCGCCCACAGCACCAGAATCAACAACCAATACAACAGGGGCGGCGAGAATACCCGGTATCGATCTCACACCCTCTCCTCTTCTGTCTCGTCGGACGTGGAGACATACACTCAGCACGGCGAGGGCCACCGTCTCCAAACCAACCACTGGTCAAACAGCAGAGGATATCGCAGCAATAGTAATCCGAGCAAGCAGCCCACGATTCGGCACGTCGATGGTGGCTCTGAGGCAGAACGGTCGAGCTATAGGAGTAAAGTGTACGATTCTCAGCGAGCAGTTGGCTCCAATGACCGTTCTCAGGGTCGGACAACCCCTCGCTTTGTAAGGAGAGAGAGCACCGGGAGCGCCTCATCTAGCGTTGACCTTAACGAGATGCTTGCTACCACGTCTCTCTATGGAACACGAAGATCGGCCAGCTTTGACTACGGTTCTACCTTGCCGTCACGAGCCAATGGGAGAGACACTTCCTTTGGTCACCGTGATACCATGATGCAGTACGATGATATGAACGCTGCCCCGACCCCGACGGTCCTGCTAGGGCCTAGGAAAGAATTCGCTCCGCCGGTCTTGCCTGATCATGCCAGCATCGTTCATTCTTCCACTCCTCCGGACACCGCCTCCCGAACCCCGACTTTGGCTCACAAGAATAGCACAAGGTCCGCGCGAAGCATGTACTCCAGGAAGAACAAGAGCGACACCTTGGGGACTTCGACAATCAGAGGTCGAAGTGACGAGTATAATAAATATTTCGGAGACTCGCAAGATCAGATTCCTCCTGTGCCCACTTTGAATCAGCCATCGGCTCCCAGTCCTACCATAGCGCGCTCAAAGCAACCACTTCCCACCAATTTCCCCGTTGAAAGCCTCAACACACCTCCATCGAAGGAGCGTCAGGGATTTTTCAGACGGGTCTTTGGCTCTTCCAGACAATCTTCCCCCTCGCAACAGCCCGACCTGAGCCCTCACTCGACCCGGGATAACGAGAGCGATCCCTCCAAGCAGGATAACGCTTCAAATCAGCCGAGACCCTACAGACCGTCACGCCTTCCAAGCGATCCCTCGACAGTCACCAATTCCAATTCCACGATGCGCGAGAACCCGCCAGTGGTAACGAAGAAGCCCTCGTCATTTTTCCGGCGTCGCAAGAAGTCCGTGGTTGAAAACACGCCTCCACCCATGCTCCCACTCTCAAATCTAAGCTCTACAGACGTGTCTAAACCCGAATCCCAGGGCCCCGAGAAATTGAGGATCAGTACCGCAACGGATTCTATCCGCACAGACAGTCTCAGCAAGGCTATGAAACCGTACCTGTCAGACATGGATTCTCCCAAACAGTCGCCCAAGAATTCGCCCAGAGAATCACCGAAACCCTCCAGCCGCGGCGGTCGCAAGTCACGAGACCGGCAAGAAACCGATGAGTCTGATATGGGATCTCCTCGTAAAAGAGAAAAGCCCCGGGTCAAGGAAGCTGAAATCGAATCTGCTAAGAAACTTCAAAAACTGGGCTATTTACCTAGCTCCAAGCACCGTCGAACTACAGGTGCATCAAAGACAAAATCTAGCTCGAGGTCCCACTCACGGGCCACCAATTATGACGGCTCATTCCTGGCAGACAGCAGCGGAAATGAAGGGTTGAGCTCAAGACAATCCGGAGACAAGCGATCGCGCAGACCGCAAACAAGTCCCGACCCTCCAGCTCAACAATCCGATCATTCTACTCCAGGACCCAAGCATGATGCCGTTCTCTCGGACCGGGTAAATGGCGGGAAATCCCAGAGCGGTGACCCGAATTCTAGCTCCTTATTGGAACCAGCTCCCTCTTCAGCACATTCGAAGAACAACCAGCAGACCTCAGCTCCCGCCAGCCCGAGAAGCATGCAGTTTGAGCCCACTCCCTCCAGACAGAAACAATCAGGTCTCCATATCGATACTTCTGGGAAAACCGTATTTACGACAGAGAAGGATAAATCTCCTAGAATATCAACATCAACATCCATCACATCTAACTACCACACTGCCCAGAGCACCCCTGTTCCTAGCAGTGACGAGAATCTCGCCTGGGGAAGTACAGCTATGGCACCACTGCAGGGCAGTGCGGACGCAGCTGGCGATGGGCTAGATGAAAACACCCCCAGTCCTGAAGAGAGACAGCAGGCTCAGAAGATATTTGACAATAACGATGAGGAGTTGGCCGCTGGGAAATACACGGCTGCCTGGTTGGGAACACCGGACAGATCGATGCTTCGAAAGGCGTATATGGATCTCTTCGACTGGTCAGACATGAATATACTCTCGTCATTGAGAAGTTTATGCACCAAGATTGCATTGAAGGGCGAGGCACAGCAAGTGGACAGAGTGCTGGATGCATTCTCATGCAGATGGTGCGAATGTAATCCAAACCATGGATTCAAAGCAACCGGTATGTCTATAACCCGCTCATTCTCTCCCAGATGAAGTTGTGTGTATGCCAGAGGCTAATGATAATAATACTGCAGATGTCGTCCATACTATATCCTACTCCTTACTACTTCTCAATACTGATCTTCATCTTGCCGATATTGACCAAAAGATGACCAAGCCCCAGTTTATTAAAAACACGATGCCTACCATTCAACGAGTTGTAATTGAAGCTGCTCCGGAAGCATTCAGTACAGCTCAGCCATCAAAACCTCAACCTAAGCAGGCTGCTGAACCAGAGAGAGCAGGCCATACGAAAACTTCTCCAGTACCTCCTCTAGAGAAGCCGCCTATCCACTCACCCACGGCAGCTGAGAAGTCAGATGAACCACCAACTATCGATATCCCCATCATTGAGCATCCTAACGTACCGCCTCCCCGTCTGTCAAGCCGTGCCTCGTTTCTAGATACAGGTCATGGCATGCAGTCCCTGGCTGGCCCGCTGGTTTCAACACCATTTAACGGGACGATGAAGGCATGGGAGGCTCAGATCGAGACCGTACTCAAGGACTACTACATCTCTATCCATAAACAGAAACTCCCTCTTAGAGGTGTCACTACGGGGAGTGATGAGCATATCTCTGCGCCTGGCGGGTTCCTTACGCTTACTCATAACATGCTCCGACGGACTCCAAGCACGATCAGTCGAACCGGTGCAGCAGAGACGTACCGTGGACGAGGCGCTGAAAACCGTCTAAATGCGGCCCGATGGTCTTCAAAGGCAAGATCTCGCCCCCGTCTTTACCCACCATCTGCCATGGGTTCGAGCCGTACAAGCTTAGACGACCAGTCGTTTGTCTGGTCGCCATCTGGTTCGAGCACCTGGAGTAAGAACTCTCTTGGAAAGACCTTGACTTCGATGTCGGTTGACTCTCTGGGGTCCGAGTATCCTCGCGGTGACTACCAGCAATCCATTGGGTTTGCAAACGCTTTGAGCCATGCTATCATCCGTGAGGATTCAACCCATTCAATAGCCGCCTCAGAAGACCCTGCACGAGTTGCAATGGTTCTTGAAGACGAGAGCCTCGAGCTTGCTGGTGCTCCATGGGCAAAGGAAGGAAGCCTGAAGCACAAACACCATCTTGACTCAATCGACAAACGGGCCAAGGACAGGAATTGGAACGAGACCTTTGCCGTCATCCAACGAGGCTGGATGCGTCTTTTCTCCTTCAATTCCAACAATAAATCGAGTCTGAAGCCCAAGCAACGCCAGAACGGAGGAATAGTAGTCGGAGGCGGCAACTGGATGGAAAACGCGGACGAGACCTGGAAGTTCCTCCTCCGACATACCATTGCCAGCGCCCTTCCGGCTCCCGGTTACTCCAAGTCACGCCCTCACGTATGGGCTCTCAGCCTGCCCACTGGTGCCGTGCACTTATTCCAAGTCGGCACGGCAGACATCGTGAAGGAGTTCGTCTCGACGGCCAACTACTGGAGTGCCCGGCTGTCCAAGGGTCCTCTCTTTGGCGCTGTCAGCAACATCGAGTACGGCTGGAGTGACGCCGTCATCAACAATGCCGTCTCCAGCATCGACGACTCCAATCTCCCGAGCAGCGCTCCATCTTCCAGCGGCTCGGCTCATCTTCCCCGACCCAGCCTGCAGAGCTCCATCCGCAGCTCAATTGATCAGCAAAGCGTCCGTCCTCGCCTGCCAGCCGACCGGATCATGCTCAGCGACTGGCGGCCGCCTCAGCAAAGCATGATGGCGTCCACCTCCTCCGAAGCGGAACAGCTGGAGACGCTCCGCAGCTACGTGAAGCATGTGGAGCAGGAACTCCAGCGCCACAACGAGCTACGTCCTGCTCTCATGCTTGCCTTCACGCCGAAACACGCAAACTACTCCAAGGCTCTGCATAACTGGGAACGCAAGTCGTCGTATCTTCTCCGAGAGATAGTCAAGTTCCGCACCTACATTGACAGCCTGGTGTGGGCAGAGACGATGAGGCAGCGGATCTACCACCAGGCCGATGCAGTCAAGGAGAAAGAGCTGAACGCCGGCAGTAACCAAGATCCTGTCGAGGCTTGATATCTCCTGTCCTCTTCGACCGTACCGTCTTTCCAGAATCCACCCCCCTTGACATGCTGTCCTTAACCTTTTACTATCCTGCTTCCCCTTTTCCCTAGGCCGCCTAAACACCCACAGCGTGCCCTTTAATCCACAATTTCACGACTATCCTAGCTCCTTTTTAATGCCTTTCTAACGGCCGATGCACCAGCGTTCTCCAGTCCAAGCGACTTTGCTTTTCCTTCTTTTACAGCCATCCATCCATCCATCCTTAAACCAAGTGTCCTGGAGTTGTCTTCTTGCCTGTATATCTTTTGATAATCCATCTTGTTTCCAAGCCCTGCCTGTACATATATAGTCTGCTTCACATAAGAACGAGTTTATGAGAGTTACCCGTCGCTGTCTAGCCATCACGCTGCCGCCCGTCCAGCCAGCTTCCAAAGGTCCCCGTCCCTGATCTGATCCCTGTATAAAGTAAACAAAAAGGGCCTGTCGTATCAAACACTTATATATCAACACTAACTAACTACTTAGTTAACTCGTTAGTTACTGGCCGGCCCCCTTGCATGGCCGGCGCTAGCTCGACTTTTAGCAGGAAAAAACAACCAACACCAAAAACAACATCAACAAACCCGCGAGCCCAACTCGACCTCACCCAGCAAGCACCCTCTTGCGACAGGCCCCTCGGACCCGCCGTCGTATTATGCTGGAGCGCCTCGAGGCCGCCTGCGCACGCTCTTCTAGAAGCTCTTCTGGCGCCTCGACTGGCCAACCGGGTCTGCTGGCGATGCGCTGTCTCCAGTAGTCAACTAGTTAGCCAGCTGGACGCAGACGCGAAGAAGCAAAGAAACCCGCCCTGCAGCACAAAAAACTCGATGCGAACGAGGAAGAATCGAAAAGGAGGAACAAGCTGCTACAGCCCTAGCAATCAGCAGGAATCGTTATCACTACGGCTAGCTGGAACTGCTCCCTGTCTCTCGTTTCCTCCGATCCGCAGCGATGTCAGACGTTCCGCTGCCGCCTTCCTCTCCCCCGTCTATTACCCCAGCGCCGCACGACGACGACGACGACGAGCAGCAGCAGCAGCAGCAGCAGCAGCAGGATTACGACTCGAGCAGCCTGCTGCCGCCTCTGCCTTCTCACGATGGCGACGATGATGACCTGAACGAGGACAGTGTCCAGCGCTATGCGGACGATTACGACCGTGACGACTCGAATCTGCCTCCTGATGACCACGACACCAGCCTGAACCGCACGCTGAATGAGGAACGCGAGATGCACAGGAAATTGATGGATATAGAGTCCAGCTTTCTCCCGGAGCCCTCGACGCTGCATGTCGGGGGAAGTGCTGCGGCTGGGAGAGACGATATGTACCTGGCTGGAGCGGATGCACCCAGTACACCGCAGAAGACGGGAGATATTGAAGGCGAGGACTCGTTGATATCTCCAGAGCTACCAAGGGATATGTTCAAGACACCTGCGCCAGCCCGGACGATGGATCCGGAGTCTTCAATGGTTGAACCGGGAAACCAGACGCTGGAAGGGGACAGTTTGGTTGGAATCAATACTTCTTCCTTGGAGACAACATCTACTCCCCCAACCACTGCCGCTGCGGCCAGAACTGTCTCACGAGTTATATCGGCCGCAAGCAGCCGGTCTGGAAGGTTCGGAGACTCTGTTGGTGAAGAACAGCAAGCACATGGCCACGGGCACAGCTTTGAGGATGAGGGATCACACACGGAGAGAGAAGTTGATATCGAGGCTACTCCTCGCAAACCTCGCACGCAGATTGTCGGCCAGTCTCCGGCTCTCTCTCGGTCAATACAGAGCGTCAACACGGATGACAACGATCTCAGTCAGACAGTTGGTTTCCGGGGAGCTGCAGATTCGATCGAGCTACAAAGGACGAGACCCAAGTTTCTAACTAACCGCCAGTCCTCATACCGCTTGTCCACGTCTTCGGTTGCTACAGCTAATACAGACGGTGCCCTCAGCGATGCCACAATGGGAATGGACTACGCTTTACAATCTGGCGGTGCACTTCCGTCAAATGGTGGAAGAGCGTCACACAGCCATGAACAAAAAAGGGACCTGTCAAGGTCCATCAGTCTTGGGAGCATGGCATCCGGCATTTCAAATCTGAGCGATGACCATCCTTATGAAAGAAGGATTTTTAGTGGAGTGTCTGAACTGAGTCTTCATACCCTGAATGAAGAGGAATCTGCCTCCCAACGGCCAGTATCTCCGGGAACTACCGTCAAACATGGTGGTGAAACTGCTCCCATGACGCCAAAGGCGAAAACTACGGATCCATCCTCCCCTCCTGCAACTGTCTTGACGCAGATACACAACCGGCAACCTCCTAGCACTGTGAAAAAATATCAAGAAACTGCAGCGCCGTCTCCTGATAAACGGTCTGTAAGCCGGACACCAGGCTTTGGTCGAGGAAAGAATATGACGTTGAAAGAACAGAGTAGCACTATTGATCGACTCTCAAAGGAGAATTTTGATCTTAAGATGCGTATCCATTTCCTCAACCAGGCGTTGAATAAACGGTCAGAAGATGGCATCAAAGAGATGATTTCTGAGAACGTTGAGCTGAAATCCGATAAAATCAAGGCTCAAAAGGACAACCAGGCTTTGAGAAGGACAATTCGCGAGCTTGAAAGACAACTCAAGGAAAAAGCTGATCTTGCCGACGAGAACAAAGATGAACAGACATCTGAGGCCGGGAAGAGAACTATCGACGATGAGAAATTCCTATACCTGCGTGAACGACTCGAAACATATGAAGTTGAGATTGAAAGACTCAGGGCTGAGAATATCACCCGAGAGAGCGAGAAGAGAAAACTAGCTGAGATGGTGAAGGCGCTCGGCGATGGCAGAAGCGGTATATCAGACTCTGGGGCTCGGGAGGAACGGGTAGGTTTCATTTTTCCTTTATTTTTCAATGAGGTCATTATATCCGTATGTTTGTTCCAATGCTTACTTGCATATCCGTTAGGACATGTGGAAAGATATACTGGAAGCCGAAACTGCAGCTCGTGAACAAAGCGAAGAAGAGAATAAGCGTCTTCGCAACCAGATTCTTCAACTGGAGAATGACATATCTTCCCATCAGTGCCGAGAGACTCGTTACCGCAAAGGACACCAAACCTTCTCTCAAGTCGGTTCTGACTACGAAAGTTCTCGTAGCTATGCAACCTCTAACCCAACTAGGGAGGACTTTGAGCTGCTGAGGCAGGAAAACAATGCACTTCGTCGAGAAGTGACTGCTCAGACCTCGATGCTAACGTCTAGAAATCGTGAGAAGGAAAAACTCTACCAGGAAATTGAGGATTTGAAGCTTGATCGACGCAATGAAGGTCGCTCCATCGCTGGCGATAGCATCTTCGACCGTTCTGCTTCAAGAGCACAATCAAGAGCCATGTCACAGGCGAGTGACAACGATCGTGACACACTGGAAAATAGGAACGGCGAACTGCGGGACCAAGTGTCAGCTTTGAAATTGGACAATCAGGGCCTCCGTAGTCAATTGGACGAATACGCAAACGAGCTAAGCTCCGTGGAACGTGAATATCAGACAGAACTAGACCGCGTAAGCCAGGAGTTACGAGACCTTCAAGCCCAGCGTGACCAGGCCCTTCAGGCCATTGAAGAGCGTGAGGCAGAATTGCAAGAACTCAAGGCAGCTGCACAAGAGGAGCTCGATATCTTGGGAGAAGAGCTTGACCTTAAGCATGAAGACTGCCAGCGTTTGGAGGTCGAGGTCCGAAACCAGCAGGAGAATTTGGACGCTCTTCAGGCAGAGGTCAGATCCGCTAATGAGGGTATTTCCCGGCTTGAAGAAGATGCACAGAGTAATCTACTCAAGTACAAGGCCGTACAGCAAGAGCTGGATTACGTTAACCAAGAGATCGACTCCATGGAAAGGAACCTGGTCGAAGCCAATAACAAGGTCCAGCGATTGACCGTTCAACAGGAATCCAGTCAGAACGAAATTGCCTTTTTGCGAGAAGAGCAAGACGGTGATAAGATCAAAATTGGCGACTTGGAGTCTGAGCTGAGATTCATCCAAACCAGCCTACAGAGCGAGAAGGAGAAAACAAGCGAGCTTGACAGACAACTTGCTGACGAGCGATACCAACATGAGATGGTAAGCAGCAAAGAAAAGCAAGAAGTGCAGCGCATCATAGATGATCTCAATCGTGAGTCCACGGCATCGAAGGAAGAAATCCGTAAACTGAAGAAGAACTTATCTTCTCGTGAAGTTGAAGCCACAATGTGGAAAGATCGCTTGATGGAGCTTGAGAACAGCCTACGTGAAGCCCTTGGTGACCTTAATGGCACCCGTTCAAGTCTTCTCACATCTATTACAAAACTGCAGAAAGAACTTGAGTCTACTTCTCTCGAGCTGGAAAGTGTCCGCGCCAGTCTAGACGAAAAAGAGGCCCTCCTTCGAAATCGTGATGCACTCCTTGAGAGCCATGGGCTTGAGACCCAAAAACTGGCTGACCTCCTAGAGCGTGAAAGACAGGCCCGTCGTGCCGATAAGCATTCATTTGAACAGTCCCTCAAGTCTCATCACCAGGCTTCTCGAACTATCGTTCAGAACAATTCTCGAATCACGGACTTGGAGGGTGCACGGAATCAAGACCGGAAACGATTTAATCACCTTGAACAGCAGTACAAGGACCAGTTGAATGAGCGGAATGTAATGTTCCTTACCTTGTGGAAACGATTATCTGCAATGTGTGGCCCTGACTGGTCACATTCGAACAGCCTTATCAACGGCAATCTCCCTAGTCAGGAGGTCATTGGAAACATGCTGTTCTGGCCTGGGTTCAGCAAGAATTTGCTTCTGGCAGTGAAGACGGTGGAAAACTCGATAAATGGATTCAAGTCCCGTGTTAGAACCGTAGAGCGGAACCTGATGAAAGAATACCAGACCCTGGAAAACAACATGAATGCCCGAATTAAGAAACTAGATCGTTTGGAAGAAATTGTTCGGCAGATGCAGAGCAACCCTAGACGGTCCAACAACACTCCTCCGAATACAAACGCCGAATTAGCAAAACTCAAGGGAGAGAATAGGCTACTCAAAGCCGAGCTCAACCTTCTACAATCTCATTCCCGAGCTAAGGTTGCCAATGATAGTTCTGCGCGAGGGCAGCCATCAAGAATGGCAAGCTCAAGATCAGTCGGCTCATCCCTTGCGAGATTCAGTACAGGGTCAGAACAAGGGACCCCAACCAACACACGATCCGGAAGAAGCAACAGTTCGGTGTCTCGCGGCTCTTCAAATGTTGCTCAGCCATCTCCCTTTTCTTCAAGCACCACACTTGCAAATAACCAAGGCGGCTCAGAAGTTTCCGCTCACCACCACGGATCCGGCCCTAGTCATGGAGGATATCATCTATCTCCCAAGAGCGAGGCCAATCAGGATAGGTGGATACAACGTCTGCGAGATCTAGAACGACGGCTGAAAGCGGAGCGAGAAGCACGACTGTTGGACCGCTCTGGGGCCCGGGAGAGATTAGCAGAACGTAATGCGGAGAATGAGAAACTCCGTGCGGCTCTAGAGAGGGAGCGAATGAATCGAGTTGCCAGTTCTTTTGGGACTGACGCTGGAGGTGACGAAGCCGATCGAAACCCACGCACACCGGAGAGAGCCCGACGCCATGACAACAACAGTCGAGATAGGGGCAGTCGAAACAAGGGGAGGGCCGACAGCAGGTCAAGTGGAACAGACGTTGTAGTAATTGACCATGGATATGAGCCTGATTCTCGTGGGCACAGCGAAGGTCGAAGCACCCGCTCAGGAAGTTATGACGGTGAAGGCGATGACGATGACGATGGTACGGGTACTGACGATGACGGTGGTTTATGCGTTGAGGTCGTGGTGTAATGGTTATGTCCTTTTGGTATCCTCTTTTTTGGGCGTTAATTGTTCTGGCGAGACTCCTAGTTCTTGGATTCCTATTTCTTCTCTCTTATTACCCCTTTATTTACACGACATGCCCTTATACTATATCTTGGTGTCTCATGTTTAGCGTGTTAATGATAATTGGTATCCGTTCTTTGGCGTACACGGTTTAGAGCATAGTGAATATCATGATGCAATTTCATTCTTGTGTATATTTCTAATAGTTATTCCCATATCCAAGTGGGCAGAAGCGATTTCTATCTCAGCAATACCTTCAACGAGAAATCAATAATTCCAACACCCTGATGGATGCTGCTTGTAGACAGAATGTCCACATCATCGCACACGAACTTTGCAGCATTGCTCTCGTTCAACCCGCCGCTGACTTCCACAAGGAAAGTTCCGCGTGGTTTGCCCTTCGCATCCCACTCATCCTTCAGCTGCTTTGCCGCAGCCCGCACTCCGTCAGCAGTAAAATTATCCAGCATGATAACATCAGCACCCGCACTGATGGCAGCATTTGCCTCTTCGATGCTACGACATTCTACTTCAACCTTGGTAGAAAAGCCGGCAGTTGCACGAGCAGCTTGGACTGCTGAGGGTATAGCTTTGGCAATGGTGATAACATCTGCACTGGGGGTTTCACTTGCACCTGTGTTGGCCTGGCTCTTGTTATGACATGCCCAGACGTGGTTATCCTTTAACATGGTCATGGAGCTGAGATCGTGGCGGTGAGGATCAGCACCGCCAACGAGAATTCCGTATTTCTCAACGATACGGAATCCTGGCGTTGTTTTGCGAGTGCCAGCCAGTATACCTTTCCAGCCCTGGTCACGAAGGATGGTAAGCAGGGCTGCAGTCCTGTCATAACTTGTTAGAATATATTAGATGAAAGAAAAACCGTGAAGATGTAATCACTTTGTTGCAATTCCTGAGCATCGAGCTAGAATGTTCAAAGCCACTCGTTCACCGAGGAGGAGTTTTCTCATCGGTCCTCGCACAATGGCGCAAACGGTGACTGGCTCGATGCGTTCACCTTCCTTGACGTTCCAGTCAACACTATGCATCGTATTAGAAGTATCCGGTAATATTCTTGGGGCGTTGGATATCAAGTCTAAGCCGACAGAGTAACCTACGTGCAGCCGAGCTGAGCAAATACTTCATTCACAAAGGGAACGCCAGCCACGATTCCCTAATATACCGTAAAGGTCAAGAATTAGCCAACTTCTTGACTTCAGTATCTTAAATATAACATCCATTAAGATAGTACTAGGACAGAAGAAGTAGCGAGTAACAATAGAAACATAGCTGCCAATTACTGAAGATCATAGATCTACACCAATAGCCACCGCATGCATAGTACTATCAAAGCAAGAACAGCAGCGCACGTTAGCATACCTTGCTTTTCCCCAGGAGCCTTGTTTCTCCCTCAGCTTCACCAACGACGAAGCCTCCATAGTCAAAGCTGGGACAGTCTTCCTCAAGCCATGTTGATATGATCCGCTTATAGTTAAGGGGCAACAGATGGCTTAGGTCTCCATGTGCGGCCGCCATGACTAGCTGCAGCAGTGATTGTCCACGGTAACGTCACTAAATACTTATGTATCCAGCCTATGACCCGGATAGTCGCACCTCCACTAGCGGATCAATCAGAGATGCCAAAGTAATTGGTCGAATGTAACAAATAGATATCAAATTGTCTCTTTGGAGTCGTTCAACTTTCGGCTTTTGTTTTTCCTCGGCTTTTGTTTTTTTTTGGCGGATGAGGGCTCAGGTGATGTTCACGTGATGTCGGCGCGGAGGGAAAGAAACTCCGACACTCCGAGATCATGTGATTGGTATAAAACCTTAAAGTCAAAAAGTCAAAAAAGTCAAAAAAAGGAAACTTCGAGAGCAACTTTCGACTTCGATATCAAACATCGACATCAAACATCAAACGTCAACCATGCATGGGAAGCCCGCCCTTGATATCCACTTTCAGGGCGTGGGCTAAGCAAACGGCATATTATTACAGGCCGCATAGGGACAGCGGCATGTGTTTTGCATCCAATTCTTGCTCCGTAACTAACAGGTATGGGTCTCAGGGTGGAATTCACGCATTATTAATTGTATATACTCCGTATTCTGGGCCTAGTTCCATTCCGCTCTATGGAATATCTCTGTTCCTTCTGGAACTCTGGCTGGCGGTATCAGTTCGGGCCCCAGAGCCGCGAGGGCACGGGAAAGCGGCTATCAAAGTTTGTCCGGAATAGAAAAACTCAACACCCGAGTACCTGCGTCTCGACAGTATTGTTTCAAGAGTTCCTGGTAAAAGAGAGGTTGGTCCTTGAGAGATATGGAGTACTCTTGGGCAATTCGGAGAGTCCGAAGATATGCTTAATGAGCAAGCACGGCTGTGATGAGAGGTCCACCACCTCGGTCCAATTTTAACCAGCTGCTCTCTCGGAGGACAATTGTACGTCTATGTATGCACAATGTACATGAGAGAAACTATAAATGAGATATGGACTTGGCTGGGAAGCCTGATGAGATTTCCTTGCAAGGCAGAAAGAAGGGATCCTCAGCCCATCATGGCTGGACAATACGCCTTTCGCTGGGCGCGGCTGAGGATGCATGTGTCCATGCACACCCATTATAGGTGTGCATAAATCAATTCGCCGAGGACTTGGGAGTTTTGACAGCTAAACAGCAGCAATGTTGGGCAGATAGCCTTGCCATGTGTCAAAACCTCAAAGGGAGTATTATGAACTCATCATCCTCACCCTCAGTGAGATTTGGATGGCTTTCGTATTCGGGAATAGACCAAATCAAAGATCTATAATACGCCTAATACGATGCGAGTCATCGTACTCGTACCCTCCCCCAATCGGGTCGTGTCTGTGCATCTCATCCTATCGGAGGAGTTTGCTCCCAGAGGGTGGAAGTTTGGAGCTTCACGACTCCGTTCGCATTTAAGTATGTCCTGAGTTGTGCAAGTGCCGAAAAATTACCGGTACATATGTATTGTAAGTGATGCATACTCTGATCCTCTGTATTATATTGTATTTGCAAAAATGAGCTGACTGTAATCCAGTTACCAGAGATACAGGAATGCATAAAAATGGCCTAATTGTGCACACCTCGGTCGAATTTAGAATTCCCACCCTTCATGACGGAGTTAAGAGGCTCCAATCAGTGTTTTATTTAAACCGAGAAAACGAGGGAGTTAATCTTATCTCTTAGGTAGTTAGGGATGTTGACGTACAAAAAGAAAAACAAACGAGGAGGTGGGTGATAGGTGCATTAAGCTTGATAGCTATTAAGTCCAGCCACCAGCAAAGAAAGGGTACATAACCAGCAATGTACCCAATGCTATGTGATTATCGGAGGGATACATAGGTGAATAAAAGAATAGGGGAAGAGGAAAACAGGTGGGTTATGCAAAGAGTTATGAACGGAGTAACTTCATTTGTGCTGGGTAGACACCTGTCTACTGCTTCTTGGTTGCATAGATGCCTATGCCATTCCCCTCCGAGTCCTGAAGATGCATGACTTGGCCATGATCCCCTTCTGGAAGAACATCACTGCACTTCTTCCCCCCGTTTGCAACGATTTTCTAATATGCATGTCAGAGCGCTCACCCCTGGTCGACAAGGTAAAAGCGGAAGGGAAGAAACCTCCCCCCACACTAGTTAACGCATGAACGGCAACTTGGTTCACTCACCTCCATCGTTTTCTCGAGGTCCTCTACATAGAGGTACAACTTGACGGTTTTCGGGCCGGTGGTATGCTCTCCGGGCTGGATCTTGGAGATGTTACCACCCAGACCCTTGAGCCCCTTCTCGGGGAATGAGAACATTGCGACGTCTTCAGTGCGTCCAGGGCCATCCTTGCTGAACTGCCAGTTGAACACGGTTGAGTAGAACTTCTCAGCTGCGCCAGACAAATCATGTTAGCAATCAGCCAGCAATCTCAATCAGCGATTGGCAGTGCCACCACGTTCCGTTTTCCAACATTAAAACAGGTATGCACTCGGAGCGAAGGATATCAATCAGTGAGTTGGGGGAGCATACCACGAGCCAGGTCGGTGGCGAAGATTTCAACCCAGCATGGGGTTCCTTCACTTGGGGGTGTCCAGGTGTCACCCATGATGGCTGAAGAGGAAAATAGGAGAACTTGGGCAATTTCCAAGGGAATTTTTGGTCTCGACAACCCAGAGGAATGGACCAGGCAGATTCCTGGGGAGAAAATGAAGGGGTTTATATGCCTTTTCCATCTCACCGCCCTCATGTCCTCCTCCTGTCCTCCACACTCTCAGCTGCCCTTTTCTGTGCCGTTCACAATCGAACCGTGAACCACATCCATCCCTGCCGTCGAACCAGGCAACCAAGGCATCCCAATGGCTAGCCTCGAGCCCATCCCTGGCAACACCTTGTTGAAGCCCATTATACCCTCTCTTTCATCTCTTTTTGACCCCGATTCTTTGGCTGATAGTCATTAAACCCTCACGTGATGACGTGTGCTGTTCGTGTTTCGCACAATTTAGCCGAATCTGGTTAAATTGGACTCGCGTCGCGTCGCCAAACAAGCAAAAACACGAAGTTTTGGCGTTTCTATCGATAAAAAAAAAGGGCGAAGAAGATGGACACTTTCTCGGTCTCTCGTTTAAACGGAGTCTCTTTGCGGGATGAGTCACATCGTGGAGATGGAGAGGGTGGATGCTGCCTGGCTGACGCAGAGAAGGGCCGAGTCCGTTTGCTTTGGAAGCGGTTCGATGTGAAACAAGACACGGGGCAAGGCAAAAGAAACAAAAAGGGACAAGGATCTCAGGGGGCGGATGTTGCATGTTTGTGAGCAGATGAGACTCTCCTTTGTATCAGTACTTCAGGTATCGATAATCTCTCCTCATGCTCATCAGGATGCTTGCTGCGCAGCCGTCGCAGATATGGAGGATGGAAATCGGCTCTCTGTATATTCGAGGACAGTACTGTTTCTTGCCACAG